TTGGCATGGGGAGGAAAGCATTGAGAGAATAGACTAATTGAGAATCAAGGACTCAGTCTTTCAAGAGTATGTTTGGAAGACTATCTGTAGCCAGTTTCCACTGCAATTGAGACAGAAGGTCAGATTGATCAATAGGAGAAGAGAAAGCATTGATATGAGATATTGAACAGGATCTCTGTGATTAGAACATATGATCTGCCTTTTGTCTGGGATGAAACTGTCAAGGCAGGTTGGTGTAGGGAAGGAAGTAACAGAGTCCAAAGATTAAATTTCCTAGAGAAGAGCAGTCCTGCCCTTCCCTTCCCTTCCCCTCCCCTCCCCTTCCCTTCCCTTTACTTCCCCTCCCCTCCTCTGCTTTCCCCTTCTTCTTCCCTTACCCCACCCTCCCCTTTCCTCCACTCCCCTTCCTTTTCTCTCCCCTCTTTAGGTATAGCCAAGGGCAAAGTGAGCCTGGAGAGCAGTCACATCTTCCTAAGGTGTGGGTCTGTGGACTGGCAACGACCCGGGTGGGGCGTCTAGACTATTGTTCTTAAAGGCAAAAACCTGAGTCCCCCAAGTGCGTATTACCTCAAGGGGAGCAGTGCATAGTGTCTATGTTGGTTTTCTAAGGCTACTGTAACAATGTGCTGTAGATAGGGTGGTTCAAATAGCAGAAATGTATTTCCTCATCCTTCTGAAGACTAGAAACCCCAAATCAAGATCTCATTGAGGTTGGTTTCTCTTGAGGCCCTCTTCTGGGCTTGTAGATGTCTGTCTTCATATGTTTTCAGTTTTCCTTATTTATCTGTTGGGGTCTTAATCTCTTCTTACAAGGATGGCACACATATTGGATTAGGGCCCACTCAGATATACTCATTTTACCTTAGATATCTCTTTAAAGCCCTATCTCCCAATACTGTTGTTACAGTTGCAGGTTCAATTTTAGGACAGAATTTAGTCCTCCCTAGTGCCCAAGCACCCTGATATGGGTATATAATAGCTGCCAGCAGACAGCTGGGCTCCAGGGATTCCATGGTTAGGCTGGCTGTTGGACTCAGAGAGCATGGCCTGGCCCTACAAGGCTAGGGCTGACTTTCAGACTTTGGCTCTGAATGCCACTGTGGAATACTGACACCAGAATGAGGGAAACTACACCTCAGTTGAGGCCAGGGTGAGGAGAGCATTTTTATGGAAAAATGCCTCATTCTTCCTGATGCCAGGGTTATACAAAGGCAACTCTCTTTTCAGACCATAGATTACTCCCTCAGAGAGAGGAAGAAGTGTGAGAGGAGGGGGGTAAGGACTATGTGTTAATCCAAATAAATCTGATAAGGACTATGTGTTAATCCAAATAAATCTGATAAGGACTATGTGTTAATCCAAGTAAATCTCTGTGTGCGTGTGTGTGTGTGTGTGTGTGTGTGTGTATGTGTTTGGGTGTTGTGTGTATGGGAGAAAGGTAGAATAAACCCTTGGAAATAGCCCAGTTTAATTGAATTGACATACTCAAATTTCCATGATGAGGACTAAACTAAAATGTTTATAAAATAAAGAAAATTGGAGTGTTAGATTCAACCCTTCATTATAGCAAATATTATACTTTGACATCTTTAAATATCCTTTTATGTGGGATTTCATAATCACATTTCTCCCTGTAAGTTTGATGCTTCAGCTTTTTATGCTTTGGTCTACTTATGGTTCTTTAAATATTGTTCTTTAATATTGCCAAACTACACTACTTTAAGCCAATAGTGAATTGAATTATTTTGAATTTACTGATGTGGATGCAATAAATGGAAATTGACTAAAATATAACCTCTTCAGATTATTATATTGACTTATAAAAATATCCAGTGTAAAATTATTTACTCTTTCTAGACTAAAAAGCTGCAGTACTTTATTTTCTAGGATACATGGAAGCTTGCAATCACAATCTCTTTCTTCTCTTTCTTTTTCTCTTTCTTCAACAGATACCTAGATAATGAGTCTTCAGATGAAGTACTGACTTCCACATTTTAAGTTGTCATTTAACATTTAACATGTTGTATATTTAAATTTATATTTAACATGTTATATATTTAAATAATCCAAAAGATATAATTTTCAATATTTGGTAATTATGTCTTAAAATTTTTTACATCACTCTTAAATTTATCCAACATATATGAATTTCATAATATCTGATTCCAACTAACATCTGTTCAAAAATGCATTAAAAACTTTTTTTTAAGTTAGAAAATCTTGTATAATTTCAATTTATCTTAGCTATCATATAGTGTGATTCCTTGGCTCATGAACACTTCTGTTTGCAAGCAATTTGGTTCACAGACAGAAGCCTTTGGCAACATTTTGTTTCTCTTGCAGACTCTGCATTGGGTGACAAGCATGACCATGGCCATCTTTCCCACACAAACACAAATGTGGCCATCTTTCCCAAAATCATAGAACAAATTAAGTTCCTTAACCAAGGCACCACTGTATTTGTATTTCTTCTACACAGAAATGCATTCTTATGGAATATATTGTTATAATTGAAAGTCTTTTAGTTCATCACATTTCTCTGGAGTAAAAATTAGTGCTATATACATCTACATTTTTTAATATTTCTTATTACATCAAAGCTCTAAGGAATGAACTTTTAAAATCTAAATTGAATTATTAGTATGATCATGTATCATGTAGGTCAAATAACATTTATTATACATTGTGATTGATTATTACACATAAAAGCAAAAATTTGGCAGGGGACATATCCATAGTGAATTTACTTAGAGGAGGATGTTAAAATGCCTTGCTTATAAGGCCATAGATCTTACCCCTTTTTTGGCCACCTAGTTTGGACACTTGGGAAGGTGCACCCGATTAGCAACTCCCATGGATAGATAATTCCTATCCTTTTGTTGAGAAAAGGTATATTGTGAAAGTGATGAGTCCCCATATGATCCCAAGAACTACCTCAATAAGCCAATTTTAGGAAGGTGTACACAGAGAAACTGAACATCTAAAGATTGGCCTCACATTCCTAGCACGTTTAGATTACTTTTAGGGATTATCATAGCCTACTTTGAAGACAAATTATGCAGTTGAGGGAATGTTGCAGAGTTATATTTTGAGCTCCCACCTGGGAAAGAGAGATGGTAGACTAAGCTGTGGTCTACTCTGCAGTCTGGGATGCTCAGTATGGATGTTAGATACCCAAAGTGAGAAATAGGTCTGCTGCAGCTGAAAAAGTAAACTCATGTACACTTTTTAGCGTAGAAAACTACCAAAAATCATAGATGACTGTTTCTTAGAGAACAACTCAACTTTTCAGGTGCTGAGGAATTAGCGTAACTCAGTGAGCACTAAAACTGAATTTATTTTTAGAAATCTATAGAGTGTAGTTCTGTCACAAACTCTAGTATCATAAAGAGTAAAGTAGCTCTAGAAATCACAAGATTTCTGGAGATCCAAATTAACAAAATATCAGAGTAGATGGGAAAGACAGAACTGAAAGGATTTATCAAGAAGGCAGGAATACCCTTAGGGGAGGTTTTCCCCCAGGTTAGATAATATACAAGCCAAGTGGATATGTCAAAAGTAAGGGAAACAATGGTCTTAAAGAATTGCAGAACTGAACCACTTTGATAGAACTGAATCAAGGAGAAGCAGGAAAAGGAATGTATTTGTACAGGATGAAGTATTCTCTTGAAATGCAGCATCTCATGAAATTTGGCTTTCCAAATGGGCTCGATTTAATTTCTGAGAATGGTTATTGGAATTGAAAATGAGTCTTGAGGATCTGAAGAGGAATAATAATAGCAGCAGGTTGAACTGCAGAGTCTGGAGCCTTACTGTGATTTGGTGGCAAGCTTGGTTTTACCCACTCTTTTCTAGCTTCCTGGGTAGGACTGGAGTCTGTTTGCTAGTGTGAGAGGTGCTCATGCTAGGCCCCCATTTGAGACCTGTTCTACCAGTCTCACTTGCAGGAGCCACTTTTTAACAACTTTGCTACTGGACAAACAATTACACAACAGCAAAATTGCCAGTGACCTTCTGCTTTCACCTTGGTCTCTTGGCAGATGTGATATACTATTTTAATATAGAAGTGTTATGGAGTGTGAGGTTCTGGACACTTCAGCAATTTTTTTTGAGGGCAAGAGCAAGGGTGTCCCTGTTTTTATTTATGCTCTGGTTTCTTGATGATGTACCTTTATTGAGTGATGTAAATATCTCTATTTCTGTTCATTTGTTCTCTGATGTATCTGCTGGTAGTGAATTTTTTTCCCTTTTGTTCCACCTCTAAGGAATGTAATTGTAATTTCAGACTTTGTTATTTTCTATCACTGGAGTTCTCTGGTAATTGCAAATCATAGTGCTAAGGACTTGGAAGGAAAATAGCTTATCTAAGTGGGTTTATTTTGAAAAATATAATTCTAAACACTTTTTAAACCTTGAACCAATATTAAGTAGGAATAATTTAAAATTCAGAAGTTAACAAGTGATAGGAATAGGTTGTATTTCCCTAACTTTGTTGCATTTTGCAGAATCCAAACTTTAAAAAATCAATGTCATAAATATTTCATGAAAATTTATCATTGATACAAATAGTATTTATTAATTCATGAATATTCTAGCTACATTTATGACAAATGTATAGTGTTATATTTATATTCAAACTGTGAAATCAAAGATTGCACATAGTCTAAATTCTCCATCATTTGGCATATTTGCACCTAAAAATCAATGAATAATAGTCATTAGAATCATTTAATTGTTTTTACTACTGGTACATATCATAATCTCAAGTAACACCAAGAAAATATAAAAGGACTATGAAAGAGGGAGAATTAGAGAGCTTAATATTTAGCAAAATGTTTCTTGGGATTAAATGACCTTTCATATGAATCAGAGGAAAAATTGTCAGGTGGGTACTTTCTCACTTGCTGCAGGTATAAGGAACAGGAAACGAGCCAAAGCACTCTGTGAAGCAAAACATTACTTATGATGTCATTCATTCACACTGTCGTCTCTTCTCTTAGAAGCTGTTACTGAAGATGATCAGGGTAGACTGCAGTACATCTCACCCATCAATGGGCATTTCCTATCAGGAGCATCTTTATTTTTTACCTGAAGCCTCTTGCCCCTCCAAACAGCTGGAGTCAGATAAGGTGAGTGTATGCTGAGTTATATCCTTTTGATAAGAAAATGAATGTTTTGCAATATTAAAACAGGAAGAGTTTGGATCATACTATTCAAGAGGGTTGTTACAAGATACATTAAAATTTCTCTGAACTAATTGCCAGTGACAGTACTCTGCTCTTCCTAGAAATTCAATCTGTTGGTTGGAGTCATGGAAACTTTCCCAGAACACTCATGAAATCACAATTCTGACCATCTTGTTTAGACTCAGAAAAATGTCACTAATCCCAGTGGTCACCTGAGAGAAGGCAGGACTGTCTTCTTACTTCTTTGAGAAAGAACTATTATAATTGACTGCTAATTTTCATCGGATTTTTCTATCTATTCAACCTTATTTCTGATTACAGTATACATATTCCTTGCCAGAATCTTTTCCAGTGTGCTCACTGTCATCCTCTTTCCCATCCAGAGCTCCAGTCATGTTTTCCTTCCCCCACTTCTGGTCCCCTCAGCTGTCCAAATTTAATATCTCTCTGCCCACTGTAAGAGAGTACTCAGGGTTGGTATTTTCTCTCCAACCCAATAAGTCTCTATAATACTCATTGTCTTTTCCAATGTGATTTAATTCAGGATGTCAGAGGAGAAAATACTTGTAAAGAGTTTTAGGTAAATCTCACAAAAAAGGAATGGCATAGAGATGTCAAGGTAACAGTACAAATTTGATTTTTATGTATCCTCTGAGGGTGCTGTTATGGTTTGGGTCTAGATGTCCCCCTAAAGCCTCATGCGGTCATAGGATTGATCTAGGGTGTGTGAAGCTGGAATTGATTCATGATGCAATGCTAGGCTCAAGGGTACTAGGATTAAGGGTGTGAGTGCTACCCACCCTAAGTAGTCTGAATAAGATAAAAGGGGCAGAGAGATGCTGTTAACCTCACCCTTTTCATCTTTGCTGCCTTGTGCATGCTGTGTCATTCCTGCTCTGCCATGCCTGTTTGTCATCCCTGCCTTGGAGTTGGCTGATTATGGACCAAAACTTTTATGAACTGTAAGCCAAATAAACCTCTTCCCCTTTAAGTTTGTGTGTCCTGTATTTTGTCTCAGCAATGAGAGAAAAGTAACTAACACAGGTGCCCATTTCATCTTTTTTTTCTCTGATTGAGTTTATTGGTACATTTTAGGTATACAGAACAGTTACATTCATCACTGGGGTCTTGTACCTTTACATGACAGGTCTTGGTTCTCATTTTTTCCCCTTGTCCCTGCCCTCCCTTCACCCTCTCCTCCCCTCCCCATTTACAAACACTTTTTTTCATTTTCTCATATATATATTTTTCCCTTTTTACCTTTCCCTATCCCATTTCATCTTTTTTTTTGTTTTTTTTTTTCCAGCTTTAATTGAGTTTATTGGTACATTTTAGGGATACAATACAGTTACATTCATTGTTGGGATCTTGTACCTCTACATGACAAGTCTTGATTTTCATTTTTTCCTCTTACCTCTGCCCTCCCTTCACCCCCTCCCCATTTCATCTTTGAAATCATGTCCTTGAGTCTTCATAGCCTTGCTTCAGCAATCTATAAGTCGACACAGAGTCTGAATGACACACTCCTTCTAATAACCTTAATACCTAGAGCAGTCATTTTATCTGCATTTTTGTGGAGATAGTTTTTTGAATAGTATTTAGTAAGAGCAGTCATATTCTGAGCTGAGCAAGATGCTGAGCAGTACAGGAAAAGTAAGTACAGGTCTAGTCTCCTAATAATTCTTACATCCCATTCCTGTGAGTCTGGAATTCATTGCTGAGTAAAAATAAGAGAGATCTTCAAGGGACTGTGACGGTGTTTGGGGTGGCATATGGGGACACAGGGCTGTGATCAGCAGATGAGGGGTGGGTGGACAGTAGACTGGCATGGTTTCTGTATGTACAGAATTTCAGGGTTTCTCCCTTCCAAGGCTAATGGCAGAACTTCTATGATTCTATTCACTCTCTTACTCTCTTTTATCAAGGACAGGCCCATATGACTTAAGCTCCTACATCAATTGTTTTTCCAGAAGATTGTATTAATTATGAATTCCCTTCTTAATAAGAAATTTGCACAAACTGCATAAGTTGGAGTTAAAACCATTAAAACCTTAATATTTATTAAGCATGTGTGAGAGGGTCAGCATGGGCCTGCTGAAGGAGGCATTGCCCACATCCAACAAGCTTTGGCTGGAGGAAATCAGAGGAGGTACCCAAATCGCGTTATAAAGCTCATGCAACAAGGAGTTACACTGTTTTCCAAAGGTCAGATCACAAAAGAACAAGCCATCTGAAGACTCTTTTCCCTAGTGCTTTCCTCTTTTGGTCCCGATTCTAGAAGGGTCCAACTGTGGCTGTGTATTGAAACAAAGAGGATGGAAGAGCAAGCTGGGAAAATTCAAAGCTGCTCAACCTGCCTCCTCCTTGCACTGTGTTTCTAGTCCTGAAACAGTAGCATACTGGAGGAGGAAAAGGATTCTAAACAAGAAGGGTGTGGGGTTTCAATTTTCATATTTGATTGGGCAATTGTTTCTGGAATGAAATTGTTTTTGTACCTAAAATGGACTGAAAGACCTAAGGGATCTGCAAGAGACTTCATCAAAGATGCAGGAAAGAATGAGTCTGCATATATGGTCTGAATGGGTAGTAAACCAAGCAATCAAGTTGTTTTCTGCTTGTGGCCTCTCTGATGTGTATCTTGTTCCATTGAACGAATACAGCTGTTACTGTCTGATTCCTGATGAGCAAATATAGAGACCATCACTTTGCCTTAGATAGGAAGAATCCTAGGTAATGAAAATAAAGTATACTTAGCCAATCTGGGCTAAGGCAAAACTTCTATGTATTCTAGAGGAGGCCTGAGCTGTACTATGATAACTAACTAACTAACTATGGTAACTGCCTTAGAGCCTATGGAAATCGGGACTGGGGCATTCTGACCTCACTCCTTTACTGACCTCACTGCCCACAACTGGCCTCTTTCTTTTAGCTTATTAGAATGCAATCTCAAGGTCTATGAGTGGGTTGACTCTGATTTGATTTGATTCCATTCACATTCTCAAGGCTAATGAATATGAATTTTTTAACCCTATTTTCTTCCCATTCATTTTTGTGTTCTCACCCATCTTCTTCTCCTTATCCTAAATTCTCTCTTAGTGATTTCCCTGCGATTTCTTGGATATAACAGCAAGGGTCATAGTGAGAATTGATAGTTGAGTGGGAGGGAGGTTATATTCCAGGTCGCAGCCTCGGTGGAAGGTGGATTTCCCTTTGCATTGTTATGGCGACTCTTGCTAAAATAAAGAAGAAACAGCAGGGGAGGAAACGAGGTGCTTATTATAACAAGGGGGTCAGTTTTTAGCTCAGATTATGGATGCATCAGAGGAAAAGATAGAATCCCTGTTTTCAAACTGTATTTTTGGGAGGAAAAAAGATTGGTGTAGTGAGTCGTTTCTGAAATCCAGTGAATGTGCCTTTGTAGGCTCAGGACCACGTGATAGATTGATCCAGATTTAATGCAGTTCAACAATGCTTGTTGAAGCAATAACTGTTAAAAGGATGCAGTAGCACTGTGAAAGCTGAGGACTGAGAGGGTTTCAACTTTCCTCAGCACTGAGCCAGAAACTCTTCATTTGTTTTCCTTTCCTGAGAATCCCCTCATGCTATTCAGGCAAGGTGACAACCGAGACACTGTTAAGCCAATTTACCTCAGGTACATGGGTGTAGATTTTAGAGGAAAACTATGACTGATGAGGGATTGTTTTCCCAGCTCAGCAGAGTTTTCCAGCGACCAAAAACTGAGCTGCTTTTTAAAACACGTGAAGCTTACCTGGGGGCTCTAGCCCCTTCCTGCTCTCACAGGACATGGGACCTTGGCAAGTCATTTAACTGAACTTCAGTGGCCTTACTTATAACATGGTGGAAACCAGGCAGAACCCTGGGGGCTGATGTGGACTGGCACACTGTATTTTTGACTTCTTTTCTGTTGACAGACTCTCAGTGTGGATCTGTGGGCGATTTTGACTTTAGTCTGGCTGTAGTGATGTTACCAGAGGTGGCCAGGTTCTGGCCTTTGCTTCTGAATACTCACATGGCTCATAAGTAACAGGAATTGTATACAGATTCTAATTCAAAGAAATAAGGTTAAGAACACCTTGGAGTTAGAAATAGATCATGCACTTCTCATTTCTTAAAGTTAGATATCTCAGTACAATTTAGTAATATTTCTATTAATTCTGAATGAGACTTGTGTAATCAGAGTCATTATTCTTAGGCAAGACATCAAGGCTAGGGTATAATTAGCTCTGTTTGCACCTTTTATTGTCCTCCATCATTTTATTATTTTGAGTAGAGATGGACAAGGAGGGCAACTTATTGGGTTTTGTGACATATGGGGTGAGAGGTAAGATATGATTCCCAGGAGTTACACAAGAATTGGAGATAAGACACATGAGCAAGAAGGAGTTAGATAATAATTGTAGGCAGCTCATTATTGGTAAGTATGAGGCTTCCAGACATGGATGGCCTAGATGAAGACCAAATGGTAAAACATTTGGTGGAAATATTCTTTGTAGTCTAGAGTCTCACTTCACATGGTGTAGAGTTTATCTTCAAAGCTTCGGTTTCTTTTCATTTGCCCCCTGATTGTACTTGTAGTTTCTTCGCTCAGTCCACTCTAGAAATACCTGCATTCCTATTGTGATCACATCTTGACTAGACAGGGTGCTGTTTCTAAGTACCCTACCTGTGCTTCCCAAGGGGAGTTATGTCACTGATTCCTTACTCAATTATCTTTGTTCCCAAATTTCTGGGAGCTCTGTTAATGCAGGGTTCAGCTCTCTCTCACTTACTACTGTTTTCTCAGTAACTTATATTTACTTATTAGTTGAAAACAAAATCATTACTAATTAAAATAATCTACTACTCTTAAGAAACTGGTTTCCAGCACAGGCTTACTGTTTTTCTTTTATTTGGCCTCTCTGTAGTTACATTCCACTTCACTCATAGCAGCTCTGATCATTTAGAAGGTTTTGTAGCCCACATTTACTGCATAGACTTCTCGCAGGAAAACAAGACATAATTAACTGGGCAATTTGGAGGGTTTTGGTGTAGACAGTGTTTAGGAAAAGCACTCAGGGCTAATTCAGTACCAGAGGACTGGTAAAGGAAGGTCAGCAAGGGAAGGGAGACAGTCAACCACAGTGACCCAGAGGAGAAGAAGCCAGGGGAGACTCATGCTTTAATTCCTCTCCATGTTCTGGAGCTCTCATGGGTGCCTCCCATTGGCCAAACCAATCAAAAGCAAAAATACAAGAGGGCTCATTGATGTAGGGCTCTGGGAAAACCTACCAGGATGTGGAGAAGAATCCAGCTCACTTCGTTGACATGTTTGGAGTTTAATCCTAAGAATGATGGCATGTCACTGGAGGATTTTGATAAGGGAACTGATAAATTATGATGTAAGTTCTTGAGAGTTTTTTCTGGTTGCTTTACAGAGAATTGACTATGAAACAAAGGTAGAGTCAAGTACCATGTTGGGAGGTCTAGGCAGTGTCCAATGGCTGCCTCCCATGTTCTGCACAATAGTCAATCATTGCATGGGAGCTCTGGATCCTCCTGATGCAATCTGCAGTTCTTACTGTGATAAAGAGTCATGCTTAAAATGTGCAAGAAGAGTATGGACATTGAGTTAACCACTTAAACTTCTAACTTCATTTCAACTCTAGGGCATTATAATTTGACTAGATGCTTGAAGTTTGAATGTGTATTTGTATTGTCAAATAGTTTCAATAACATGGTGGGGAAAAGAATAAATGTCTTCAGTTTTTTAGACATTTTAAGATGATGCTTTAAAAAAACAGGTTACAGATTAAATTGCTAAGAAACAAGTCAAACGTTAATGATGGATAATATTTTAATACTCTGTTAAAAGTATATTGATCTGAGTTGTTCAGGATCCTTGAATCATTAGTTAGTATTCAGGGGATGACTATCATGTAATGAGATGGCTTTTTACAAACTCATTAAAACACATTCAATTGACAAAAAATAAATTGAATGTGGACTATTTATAAGGCCAGTAAGAAAAACTAAAATGCATAAGACACTGTCTCTGCTCCCAAGGAGCTTACATATTGTAATAATTTTTGTACTTCAGTATAATCACCTTGGAAAGTGTTCATCTTTTTGCAATGATACCACTCCTGCAAAACATTCAGAACTTCTTTGGAATTGTCTTCAGATTGAGTTTAACACATTTGCTCATGTGTGTACATAAACATGTACACTTATTGTCTTTCTGATTTTTTTAGAATAGGAGTCAGGGAAATGCATTTTGTAGGTCAGCTCAGACTTCTTTTGTATGGTCCCAGGCTAAAAATTATTTTAACATTTTTACATTTTACATTTTTAAGTGGTTAAAAAAATTAAAATAATAATATGTTGTCATGAAAATTATATGGAATTCAAGTTTCAGTATTCATAAATAATATTTATTGCAGTGCAGAGATGTTTATTCATTTAGTCTGTCTATGGCTGCTTTCATGCAGAGTTGAGTAGTTTTGACAGAAACCGTATACGCTTCAAGCCTAAATGTTTATTGTCTGGTCCGTCAGTGAATGTCTTTAGGATCATATCTGCAGACAACCGTAATATGGATTATGCCCAAAGCAGGCTGTGAAGAGTTAACCCCACAATTGGCTTGTTTTGAGAAGTGAGTTTGGCCAAGGCCTATACACTGAGGTCAGAGTAACTTGCACCCACCCAAATTCTGTTCCCACAACTAAAACCTTCTGGCTAGGACGATGTTCTAATTACAAACATATATTTTGCCTATTCTGTTCCTAATTTGAAATTCTTTGTCTTGTCCTTTATGAGCCTTGTTTACATTAATTTCCGTAGAAACTGCACAGAGCTTGACTTTACCTGAATTGATAACCAACGTCAGTGCTTGGGATTGACCAGGGCCTTTGTTGGTTGCACAGGCATTGGGTCATCCTGTCACCCCATGTTCTCTTTCTTAGATCTGTCTCTTAGTGTGTTTATTTCTCAGGCCTGTGTTGTGTACTGGGCAGGGTACTGGAATCTAACTGCAGGGTTCTTCAGCAGTATCTATTTATTTTGTTAAGGATTCTTTCATTAGATCCCCTACCTTCGTCCACAGATTTTACTCTGAATTGATGCTTTTTACAATCTTCAAAAATCAAATTTTTCCTTAATGGTCAAAGTTTTATTTTGCTTCATTGACATTCAGGGAAATCTGATTCAGGTTCTGAGGAAATCCCCAAAGAGTTCACAAGTATTATGAGAAGTGGTTACATTGTTATCATTCTGAAGGGAGTGGCCTTGACTGGGTAAGATATGAGCAACAGGGAGAAGGCAAAGCCTGTCCTTCAGTGAGTCCTGAAAGAGAAATGAAACAGAACAACATGAGCCCACTCCCCTTTGCCAAATGTCCTGTCTTTAGGTCTTTGCTGTGTTTCATGTGACGCGACACTGCTGAGCCTACAGACGGCTGTCACTCTCTTCTAATGTGCTGGCTCCGTGGCTTCTCTTTATCAGTGGCTTCCATTGTCTCATTGCTTCTGCCTATTCTGTGTGTATCTTTTATGACTATCTTGGCATGTCATATTCAGTCATTTTGAGAGCAAGGGTATTAGTAGGTTTGACATTGATTATCTTGGAAAATATGCTTTTGTTGTGCACAAGGGTTGGCTTAGGTCAGTGGTGGGGAAACCATGGCATGCATGCTGCAGCAGGATATGTGTTATCATTAAGGTTCTAAAAGGTTCACCAGCACTGACCTAGGTCCTTTCCCAGTGAGTAGGGTGGTCCATAGATGACTATCAGATTAGGGAGAGAAAGCAGGACTACATTTGATCAGTTACCTTTATGTAGGAAATCTTTGCTTTTAGAAAGTCATCTCTTGATTTCTTGGTCCTTTAATATGTACTGCTACAAGGATCTCTAGTCATCAGGGACACTGTTCAGAACTGTGGCTGTCCTCTTCATGGTTGAGCTAGAGAACCAGAGAGCATTACCTTAATGAATTGGCAATAGCCAAGAAATACCAGCTGTGGCCCACTAGTTGGAAAGCTGACTTCAAAATACTAAGAAGAAAAGAAATGTAGCTGTCATTGACTGTTATCCAGATATACTGAAAGGGGAAAGCAAGGCTTGCTGATGTGATTTTGGAATTCTTAGGGTGGCAAACCAGGAGCCCTCAAGCTGGGAGCCATGTTTAGCTTTACCAAGCCGTTTTATATATCTGCAGTTTTGTTCTCTGCAACAAAAATTTGACCAAGTTTTAGTAAGTTCATTAACATATGCAAAGGTATTCACTTTATAGTCAAGAAATCTGAATCTTTAAAATAAGCCATCTACATTGCCATAGCTGCAGACCTAGGCACCCTCTCTCCATCTGTTGTTTTGTCACTTGCAACTTTTCTCCCATGGTTTTACTTGAACATTTTAAGTAGAATCAGAGGAAACCAAAGGATAACAGGATACTTGTTCTAGAGGTGGTTTGTTCTGTTCCAGAAAAAGTCTAGGACAAAACAAAAGTGAACTTGACTCTTTCCTTGGTGACTTCTCAGTGACATCATATCTCCCTTTCCTGGAGATTTTGGACACCCACTGTGGTGTGAAAGGGATTGTCTCTGGGGAGTTTAGCTCTTTTATTGTCATGTTTTCTTAGTCTCTTACTAAAGCTCAGGTCTTCAGCTCTGAGAAGCAAGGAAGTGGCTATGAACTTGACCCTTACTATTATACCAGGACACAGAGACTCTGACAGGACAACTTGGACCATATTAAAAATAGGACACTCATCAGTATACTTGAATATTAGGAGTTAAAAATTAAAGTGCATCTTAGGGTTGTAATATAGGGTGAGCAAAGATGTTTTATATTATAAAATATTTGTTAATTTTCATAGAATTGTTAACATCTCCCCTTTCAATGCTTTTCCATGAGTAACTTTGCCTTTGCTGTTAAATGTGGAAGTTATAGGAATGGTCTTTGAGGAGCTCCTCAGTAATTAGTCCTTGCCCAATCATATCTCTTTATGAACGAATAAAAAAGAAAAACAACAAAGTATCCCCCTAGGTCAGTGGTGGCAAACCTATGGCAGTAGGCTGCAGTGGGCTATTTGTATCATTGAAAGCTCTGAAGTGTTCACTGCCACTGCCCTAGGTTATACCTGTTTGCATCAGAAGGAGAAGAAGAGGGCAAGTACTGTGCTAAAGTGTGATGCCTGGGTGACAGCACAACTGAACAGCATGATGGGAGAAGCTACTGAACACATCCAGATGAGAGACAGAAGCAAGAGGCACATTTCAGAGTTCTAGACGGTTTAGAGCATTGGGGTAAGTTTAGACAGAATAAGCTATTTTGAAATTATAAATGATCTCTATTAAAGTGATAGCAGCTAGTACCAACTTGAAAAACCAACAGATTTTGAGAAAGATAAACTGCACATTTCCTGGGAAACCCAGCCAGTCTCATATCATCAGGATTCCAGTGAAAGCACTTACGACTATCCAGTCAACACATAGCCTCTTTGACCTTTTATACATGGGTGAAAATAAGGTTAGGAAAGCCCAGCAGAAATATTGGGAGACAGGCTAGGGTGAATGGTAGGAAGCTGCAGCTGTTCTACTAACCCAGCGGCCAATAGTAATTGAACTGCCTTTTCCTGTGAGAGATAAAGGGAAGATGCAATATGTGGCTGCTATTGGTGCATTGGTGATCGCATGAAGAGCATTTTATTCATGGTGTTTGCTGGGTTGTGGGTGTATTTCTTCCCTGAACTTTAACAGTAATGCTCATGAATCTGAACCTTGAACTGGTGAGTGTTCTCTGGCTTTGGCGATACTTGTTTCAGCTATGCTTCACTGTTTCTCTTCTGCCCCACCATGGCCTTGATGCTTGCAATATCTGACTTGCAGCCTGAGGCCTTTATGGGGACAGCACGTTTCCACGTCCTTAAGCATTATTTCTTTCAAATATTTTTTTCCCTGAAAATGAGCCATTTTGAGATGATTACAACACAGTCAATATCTTCCTGTAGGAGCTTAAGCAGTTTTGTTGGCATGTGTCTAGTTGTTCTTTTACTGTCCTGTATAATTCCCACACACCAGGACATTCTTTCACAGGTACTTGGATATAATTCTTTCTTTCTCTCTTTTTGTGGTACTAAGGGTTGAACCCAAGGTCTTACTACCAAGCTAAATCCCCTGCCCCTTTTCATTGAAATAGGTATCCCAGGCTAGGCTTGAACTTGTGATCTTCCTGCCTCAGCCTCCTAGAGTGCTGGGAAGACAAATGTAAATTGCCATGCCTTGCTGGACACAATAGTTTAACCACAGATCATGTTACTCTTTTCTCTACTCACCCTCAGCCCCACAAATTATTTAGTTTCAGTGCTATATATTTTGTGCTTCTCCATGTGAGTTGACACTTGGTACTTCAACTGAACTCACAGCTCACAGATTCCCTAAGGGACTCCCAGGAGATTGAAACCCAAGGGCAATGGGCCCGAGCCCTGTGGAGAGATAGAGGACAGATCAGCTCATCTTTCTCTGGGCCTCAGTAATGAGGCTGGTTCTTTACAGTGCCCTCTTTGCTAGCTGACTCAGATAACGTTTTCTCTTCAGTTTGGATTGTGGCCCATATCATGCCCCTCTCATGAGGCACGTGCCATTTTGATTTTAAAATAATGGGACGAATGCTCCCACATTATTGGCTGGTGATATGACTCTTAAACTGTCTACAGACTGCTGAGTAGGTGAAATGTGTTGTCAACATCGCTTTATCCATGGTTGAGAAAGGAAATTGAAACTGTACTTCCACAGGGTTCAAATGGTGGTGATGGGAATGATCTCCTTGAGACAAATGACTGTAGACCATTTTATTTTCCTTTATGCCTCATTCTTCTCTAATGAAATGCCCAATTAAATGCATAGTTTATGTGTTTTTAAAAAAAAACGCTTAGAAGTGATTCTCAGAAGCAGCAGTGACAGCCGCAATTCCTTATCACAGGGGAAATGTGAGGAGACAGCACATACTCTGACCTCCTGTGTCCTGTTCCATGATTTTAAAGGAGACTCAAAATGAATGTAACCTTGTAAAAATGAAGTGTATGTGTTTGTGTATGGGGGGGGGATTATTTGTGATACATCAAATAGAGATAGCCAAAGATAGAAAAGAAAGGAAGAACCTCTAGTAGAGCAATAAATTTGGGACAACTTGTGAATTTGTCTCTGAGATCAAGTAAAGTACAGAACTATACACCTGTGTGCTGTCTGCTAGCAAAGTGAGGTTCTTTCTGTTTTTCTGGCAGGTGTGTTCCTGTCTAGAGCCTGTTGGGAGTAGAAACATGGGAGAGTGGCTCAAAGCACCCTTCTGACCATTACCTCCACCCTCAGATCTGCATCATGGAAGCTGTTCTCTGTTTTATCACCTAGAGAATACTCTTAACAGCTTTGTCTTTCCTGTGACTTGCTTAGAAAACATTTCTTTTTGGCCAATTTCCTTTCATGTGCACAATGTGCAGATGGAAAGAGGATATAACTTTAGGGAATAGCCTTGACTTTCAATGTGTATTTAACACTCCACGTCTGCTTGAGCACCTACTTACCACATGCAGAAGTATTTGAAGGTCATTACTGGTCAGACCAAGATAAAGGAGCTAAGTCCCTGCCCTTATCTAGCTTCACATATTATTACTTAGAAAATCAGTTTTTTTAATTGGATGGACTCTAAGAAGGATATAGATGAAGTGAAGAGGTTGTTTATATGGGCTGAACTTATATGGCTGCTCTTTGGGTTCTGGAAGTATATAGATCTTAGTCTGAACACTGACTCCAGCATGACGTTGATAAGCATGATGTTTGTTTAGTTCTCCAAGTGGTGTTTCTCTCATTTTCAAATGCAGATAGTGACACCTACCTTATGTGGTATACCATGTATACAGTGTCCCCCACAGGGCCTGGCACATGTGTGTCTGCCTGCAATGTCTGCTTCCTTCCCACTTCTTTTCACTGCACTGCACCCCCTGCCAGCCATACAGATGATGCTCATATACCTGCCAGCATTTCCCAAGTGACTGTCAGTACAGCAGTGTCTTCTTGGACTGTGTTGTAGCTCTGCAATATAGAGAACCCAACACAGGGTACTGGCCATGAAAATAAGGATGCGTCATTAAAGACCAGCTTTCCAAAATTTATAAGTCAAAGTGATCCTTGTCCCCTTTAAAGAATGATCATACATGAGCAGTGTGGAAGCCAGAGTCTTCTCATTAATATCCTGGTCTTCCTTTTCCTTTATTTTTCATTCCCTTGGAAGTCGAATATGCTCTGTGACTGACTTTGTCTAATGCAATGTGAATACTAGTGTCTTGTGTCACTTCCAGGAGGGATCTTTAAAAGATTTCACTTTCACTGCCTCCAATACCAATTAAGCAGATGTTAGGATGGGACAGATGTCAGCCCTGGCCTACGAGACACTGCAAGGAGTAAGGTCCCTCTGTTAACAAAATGCACGTGTGTTATGTTGTACCACTGAGATGGTAGAATTGTTTGTGGTCTACCTAGATAAATGTAGAAATTGCACACATATTCCAACAATTTGCCTTTGCTGAAAGATTTTAGGGATTATTCTGGTGAAATTGCTTTCAGGGCAGTATATGACAGTCACAGTCTTAGGGAAAGCCATGCTTGCTCTCTGCCCCTAACAGTCTTTCTTGGCTTGATCATCACTTTCCTCATTAGACTGGACTCTGACACATCTGCTGCAAATGAGAGATTGGGCAGTGCTGAGCCTGTTGGAGGGAATGTGCCCCTCACAATAATGTCATGCAGAGGCTGGGTGCATGGTGGGGGATGGAGACAGTTTTCCCAGGATGCAGGCACAAGAAAGTGCATTGTCTACAGAATTTAAAAACGATAAGCCCAACTTATATAGTGTCTCTTTCATTATCACTACAAGTCCACAATTCTAAACAATGTTAGGGACAAAAAAATCCCTTCCATCCCTACTCCCACTTCCTCCTCTTTATGCTGTGGCTCAGGGTGTGGCTACAAAAGAGAAGTTTCAGAAGTTTTGAATAACAGAAATGTGAATTGGAATGTTGCCTCCACTGTAGTGATAACATTCATCTGGAATATTTGTAAAAGAAAAATAATTCCACTTTGTTCTTGCCCTTTGTGCATTTTTGGATTCTGCGTTATCAATTTGTATATAGTTATATGTACCTCATATAACATTCTTTCTAGATTGTGAGATCCTTAAGGGCAGGGCTGAGCCTCATTCCCTCTTACAGAGGCGTGCAGTCTGCTGTTGTAGTACTGTAGACATAACTGGGCCGTGTATTGGTCAGCTTTGTGTCTCTGTAACAAATACCTGAGATAAACGTATAAGGAGGAAATTTTTTTTTTTGCTCAGTGTTTCAGAGGTTTCAGTCTGTCATCACTTGCCTTTGTTGTAGAGAGAGAGAGAGAGAGAGAGAGAGAGAGAGAGAGGAAAAAATTGGTATCCCAGTATCCCCTGCAAGAGCATTTCCCTAGTGACACAACTTCCTTCAACATGGCCCATTCCCTGCAGGTTTCACCGCCTCCAACAGCTCCACATGCTACTGACCAGCACACAGACCTTCAGAGAACATTTAAGACCCAGACTACAGCAGCCCCTTGTATATGTTGGGTTGCCTCAAACTAGGTTAGCAGGGAAATGGTATTTTCACACACACAAGAATCAGGATGATGGCTCTGGCTGCGTTTGAAGGTCTTCCTGTTGTTCATATTAAGAAACTCTGGAAGCCTGGTATATGGAGAGAGATGGAAATGTTTTCCAGCTGCTGGTGCTAACGAATATCTGAGGCTTACACAGACATGACACACCAGCCACATACACCAGCATTAAGGAAACTTGGGATGGATGCCTCCCCTCTGTGTCTCTTCAGTGAAAATCACTGTTCCTTTCATGTTCTCTCCAAACTTTATTATCATCATAGAAGGAAGAGCCATCAGGATAGTAATTGGGAAAGAGAAAAAAATTGCTTTACCCCAGGAGTTACATTTCTAAGTGAAACTCCTGGTTGCAGCAGGGTTCTGTTGAGATGAGAAGGTAAATGGGAGCTAGAGAACAGTTTCAATGTTGGCTGTCACTCCACACTTCAATTTTGGAAAATGAGAATTTGAATAAGTCTCCAGGGCTGGACAGATATCATCTGGAGCTTTCAGATGCAGCACACATTCTAGGAACAGAAGCCAAACAACCTATGGATTTTTAGTTCTACAAAGGGCCATTTCTGAACTC